AACTTAAGGCTGAAAACCGAGGCAAACTGCAGGTTTTGGCACGTGTTGGTAATGCGACCATGGTTTCTCGCAGATATTTGAGATTCTTCAAATTTGTCGGATTCGCACTTATAAATGACCACAACAAAATTAGAGTAGACTGGTCAAGTAGTTTTTGTGAGTTTCTAATTGTTTATCCCAAAACACCTGTTTTCCGGCCATCACTACTAGTTTATTGAGCAATATACAGGGTAAGGAATTTTATAGAACGAGACACAAGTGTACCGTGCCAATATGAATCGCAAACCATTCCGGGAGATAAACGTTATTTTTATGCAAAAAGGATGGGTTACGTTTTTTCTTCTCAACAAATTCAAACATTTCATACTTGTGAGTAATTTGCAACAAAAGATGATAGACACATACGCTTTGCTTTAAAATATGTATAGTAACTAATTAATAGTAAAAAAGTTATGGCCGAAAACTGAGGCAAAATGCAGGTTATGGCTCTTGTTGCTAATGCGACGATAATTTCATGCAGCTACTTGAAATTCTTCAAATCCGTAGGCTTTAGACTTCTTAATAAACACAACAAAATTGGAGTCGATTGATCAAGTAGTTTTAAAAATTTCTTATTTCCGGCCTTCACTACTAATTTACTGACCAACATTCAGAGTTCATTTAAAGGGCATTTTATACTGAGATAATAATAATAATAATAATAATAATAATTTATTTGTCAAATTCAATTATGCAAATATAAATTTTCAAAGACTGTTGCCACAAAGGAGTATCAATGACAAATAAAAGTAATGCCACGAAAGAAAAATCTTGTGTGTGGCCATCCCATTATTGTCAGTTGTCTATCCGCAGATATAAATAAAGTCTATCAAGTACTTGCTAATGCACTATGCACTTCTTACGCACGCACTGACATAATTTGGTGTTACACGATCACTGGTAGAAATGCGAAAACCTTGAACTGACATTGTGGCACTTTAACTAAATTCAATAATAAATAACATAAATCAAAAGGCTAAACTAAAAAAGAGTACATCTAAGATAAAGGACAATAAAAACTAAAATGACATTACAAAACTGGTAGTTGCATTTGTGTTGTGAGCAATAACGACAAGGATATATCAAGCATAGAATAGAATAAAATTAAATGCCCATCATACATGAGATACGGTATAAGCATATAAGTGACTACAATAAAACATAATAAAATCTAATAAAATATAATAACGTACAATAAAATATGATAAAATAATAAATTAATAGAATGGAGCAATTATTCTAAAAACGGTGACTTCATTTGGGTTGTGAGAGTGACATATATAGTGTTTTGCCTTCTATATAATCATGCATTATGCTCCTGGATATACCTTTCACCCAGACTGAGATTTTTTTCTTGAATAAAGCAATGTTTCGTATTAACTTATAATCAGCAGGCATTTCGTTGTACAATTTGGGGCAGAGATAAATCCAGGAGCGTTGCAATAATGACTTTTCCGGCCTAGGTACCATTATGTGCCTAGCAACTTTCTGGCGAGTGTCATATTTGTGAGCGATTTCCTCATGAAATGATTTATTTTTAAAGTAGTATGCAATTATAAATAAAGGTTTGCCTAATGTCCATAATTCCAGACTCATGGTATAGCTCATCAGATGGATGAGTTTTGCTCTTGCTATAAAGAATTTTTAATAAATATTTTTGGGCAATCTCCAAGTTCTTTATGTAAGTGAAGCCAGCTCCTCCCCAGCCAAGTATTCCATAGCAAAGATGTGACTGCACAAGTGCGAAGTATAAGATTCTCATGCAATCTGTATTAAGGATGTTTCTAAGACATTTGAATTTTGGTATGAGGCATCTTATTTTCTTTGTCACATATTCGATTTGAACATCCCATCTGAGATTTTGATCAATATATATTCCCAGATATTTAGTGCTGCTTTGACGTTTAATGGTTGTCGTATAGTTTCCTATTCTGACATTTATTTCATTATATTGTGGCATATGGTTTCTATAGGATGCGAAAGGTACAAAACTAGTTTTCTCAGAGTTAACTGTGAGTAGCTTAGTGTTGAAATATGCTAGTACGTTGGTGAGATTATTTTCGATTTTATATAAATTATGACAGTATCGTCCGCGAATCCTAACACTGTACCTCCCGAATCCATTGAGAACAAATCATTAATATATATATTAAATAATATTGGCCCAAGAACAGTTCCTTGTGGGATCCCATAGCATACGTCTTTATAATGACTGGTCACGTTATCTATTTTGACACACTGCTGTCTGTTATTTAGGTAGCTCGACATTAAGTCTAAAGTAGTTCCCCTTATACCGCTAAGCTCGAGTATTTCCAACAGTTTGTCAATACTAATGGTGTCGAAAGCTTTGGTTAAGTCTATAAATATGCAAATGGCAGGCATCTTATCGTTAACTAGTCTGAACAGTTTTTTGGATAGTGTAGCTATTGCATCTTGCGTTGATATGCCTTCTTTAAATCCAAATTGATTTTAATGTAACACGTTATACCTATTGAAAAACTTTAGTAACCTTGACTTGATTATTTTTTCTACAACTTTGGCGATACTCGAAATCAGGGATATTGGTCTATAATTTTCTATATCAAGTTTGCTACCTTTTTTGTAGATAGGTGTTATTGTGGCTAACTTTAAAATATCGGGAAATACTCCTGTACGAAAACATTCATTTATTATATATTTTAAAGGCTTGCATATATAATATCGTATTTTTTTCAGAGTTTCAGCTTTTATGTTATCGCTTCCAGGAGCCTTGCCATTTTTCAAGCTTAATATAGACTCCCTCACTTCGTTTTCATCCGTATCGTCTAAATAAATTGAGTTGATAAGCTTATTTACTTGTTTGATAGGAGCAGTGCGTGGTATCTTCTCTGCCAGTTTTTCACCAATGCTTGTGAGGTGTTCGAAAAACCTCTGAGCAATATCATTTTTATTGGATATTTCTTCCCCACTTTCGATTTTTATCTTATCTATTTCTGCCTTTTTATTCCTTTTACCGGAAATCTCATTTACACAATCCCATAACATCTTACTACTATTATTGGTTTTCTTGATTTTGCTGTCGTGGTATTCCTTTTTTCTTATTTTTAATAGGTTATTTAATAAGTTTCTGTAATCCTTAAATCTTTTTATATTTATTTCCGTTGGGTTTTTCATCATTTCACGATATAGTTTGTTTTTCTTATTTACAGAGTTCACCAAAGCGCTAGTTATCCATGTTTTCCTAGCTTTTTGATTATTTTTGAGTTTTAATTTATACCTACATTTAGTGATATTTTCGTTCAATATTTGTAAGAAATGTTCAGTAGCTTTGTGCGTGTTGATTGAATTATATATTGGTGTCCAAGTTTGATTATTCAGAAGTTCAAGTAATTTGGTTTCATTTGTTCTATATACACAATTTGTGTTTATATTTTTGCTAATGATTTTGGGGAAAATTATCTCTAGTATAGTTGTAAAGTGATCAGTTATATGGTTTTGAAGTATTACAGAATTTATGTGACCATTATCAGAAGGAGTGCTAGCGAATATGTGATCAATACAAGACTTTGCGTTACCATCCACTCTTGTGTAGTCATTTATTGCTGGACGAAGGTAATACAAGGCTAAGATATTCAAGTATTTTTCCGATAACTCAGACTTTTCCATTATATTTATGTTTATGTCACCCGCCAGTAGATGGATGCAACGACTTTTGTTACAAGATTCAAGGTATGGCTCCAAGTCACTGAGAAATGACAAAGCATCTGTTGACGGTGGTCTATAAATAGCTGAAACAAGTACTAGGTCTTTACATTTTTTCATAGAAAGCTGCAAGATCTTTATGTTTGTGTTAGAAAGTTGTATTATTGTATTCTCGGTCACCTCAACGTTTTTATTGATATAAGCTATAACCCCATCATTTTTGTTAATATCACCATCATTATAGTATATGTTATAATTTTCCAGTTGATAACGATACACGAGTTTACCTTGCTGACTTGAATCACAAACCCTTCCGAACGATAATTGTTATTTTTAGGCGAAAAAGATAAAGAATTAGAAATACTCAAAAACTACTTGACCAATAGACTCTAATTTTGTTCTCGTCATTTATAACTATGAAACCTACGAATTTGAAGAATTTAAAGTGTCTGCGTAAAACTATTGTCGCATTACCAACAAGTGCTAAAACCTGCATCGTGCCTCGGTTTTCGGCCATTACTTTTTTACTATTAGTCGGATCTTTATTTGAAGAGTTTTTTCGTTCCTGCCAACACTTTCGATTGAATCCCAAAGAATACATTTTCTCATTCTTTGTCGTCGAATAAAAAGTTTTCCCATAAAAATTGGTGTGCCCAACTTGCATCAATAAAACCAGACTTTACAATTTATTCGCAAACCAGGGGTATTTTCATCTAATATGATTAGACTACTAGGAACGAAGGAGCGGTTGTACTGGCCACTTCTCGATGTGCGAACTTCGACAGAGGGGATAGGAGGCAGGAGCCTGGTGGGCACGGCACCATCATGGAGGAAACATCCGTTTTAAAACTGTCCGTTACAGAAGTGCCATCGATCAGTCGAACAGCCCTCATCTAAACAGCATACGGACAATGTGGTTGAGGCGGCAGAATCCCAAATATGTGAGAAGTACTCGACGCTACGTCTTATCTGGTCGTTGTACAGAATGATGAGGCTGTGCGTAGAAAACTGCTTCTTAGCCCTAAACAAACTACCTAGTTTTTAACCCGCATTAATTGCGATTGACGAGATGTGTTCCTGCCAAATCAAGTCCTTCGTGATCCGGAATCCGATAAGCTGAAATGAATGACTCTTGGTATCGAAACCTTAGCCACGTGCGTAAATGGTACGTCTGCGGGTGTCATAATGTGGAAAGCTCTAAGAATTAACGCTACCTTATTGCTGGCCAGAAATCAGATAGCGTGATTTATCCCCTGCCCTGCGCCAATATTTATCAAGACATGCCGGAGTACGCATCGCATTTTTACCAACCGGAGCGCGTGGAATCCGGTATCACAACCCGGAAGATCGTCCGAAGCAGCGGCAGTGCGGCGAGCAGTGAGTGCATCTGATAAAACGTAAGAATGTGCTCGACGTAATAACGGCAGTATAAGGAGCCGGAGGATTCCGGGTTCGGGTGATTCCGGTGTGACCAATCGACGTTCCACTTTTATCAGCTGGTCGGTTCCGGGGCCAGCGATGCTTGGCCGTTCTTTGGCGTCCTGCCAGCTGCAAACTTTACAGCGAAATTGATTGGTTTCGGTCAGTGCCGGAGACAAGTTTGTGATATTGCGATACGCTGCGGTACAATGTAGTACGGTCTGTGTTTGAAGGACTTTATGTTAAGCTTAGTTCAGATGACGACGTGGCTTGGGTTTGTTGGTTCGACGTTAGGGTGACACGTGTACTAATTTTTTGGGCTAGGCTATCTCTGCCTCTGAGCGGATACACCACTATTTTCGGAAATCTATGCGATTCTGGCTTGTGTGTCACGCATTTTGGAGGGGAAAGGGCGTAGAAGAAGAATAAAATTATTCCTTAACAGATAGGCTGCGATGAAGGCACTAGTGCCTGCAAGATTACTTGTATTGCAATGCAGGGAAGCTATGGATAATCTAGCAGCGAGGCATGCGGTATCGTCAGTTGCATTAAGGGCAATGATATGGAGGATGCTCTTGCGATAGCAGGATCAGCGAGCAAGCTCATTAGTCCTGAGCCAGCCCTAGGGGTGCCGCGCAAAGAGTCAGAGGGGAACCGGAGGAGTAGATTGCTAAACTCTCAGAAGCATCTCTAGACATCTCCGTCAGGCACGGAAGCTCATGGTAGGGTCCAGTGTTAAGGATGGACGCCTTTGCTTATCTTTGGATAACCCCAGGCTATTGGTGGGACTGTTATCTGACCATAACATCATGAGGAGGGAGGAGGGAGCGCTGTGAGGAAGAGAACGAGTCATCGGCGCATATTGTGTGTCGCTGTGAGGCTCTGAGCTACTACAGGCAGACTATAATCCAGTCCAATGCTTTGTATCGCCGGAATCTTAAGGTGCTGGGGGTTGGAATTGATACGGCCTATGCGCCAGCTCCTTATGGTGGCCGGTGTGCCTCTAATTTTGTTATTCATTCATTAAGGCAATCGAGCCTGACTTTATCGTGCTTCCTCGATGATAGTTGATGTGGAAAAAGCTATTCCTACTTGATTAAGATATAGAGGAATAAAACGACGCAGAAGAGAAAGGGCGTATTGGGTTCACCCAATTTTGAGGAGTAAACTTTATTCCTTACTTTTTATCTCAGAAAACATGAACCGACATTTTCTAACTACTTTAGAATATCAATAAAATCGTTGTATCATAGTAAAAATACATAAAGCATTGAGAATGAACCTACCTCATGACATCTTTTTTCTTTGGTTTCATCAGATTTGCAAAAAAATGGGACTATCTCTTCTCAGGGTCATTTTTGCCGGAATATTCGAGTATAACATGATACGCATGTCCAAGATCACAGGCCTCTTATCAGTTTCACTAATAGAAAGGTCTGTGTTAGTAGTAGTAATAATAGTGGGGAGGCGAAGCCTGGCAACTAGACCACCTTTGACCCTTCATACCGACTCCATTATATCAATCTCCACATGCTTGTCTATTGGATGGATTTCAGAGTGGTCGTTTAGTCGTCTTACCATTCAGTAGAGTACGCGACATCTTCCTGTTAACAGTAACTAAATTGATTATTTACTCGAAATTTGTTAATTTATGTCTTCAAGGAATTTATGAAGCAAAATTTTGTACAGCAACAGTAGAACCTTATTATTTTATTTTTTTTATGAAATGTTCCGTAATGTCCATGTTTCGAGAAGGCCACAAATCCTTTTTGATTGACATAATTTGCGTCAGCTTTTGTGGCCGGACACAAATGAAAAATGGGAAAAATGGGATTTAATATCAGAATAAATCTAGCATAAATAGTATAACTTTTCTCAACCTTGAAAGATGCACAAGAAATCGACCAAATTCGTTAAATCCATTGCTCCATTCCTTGTCATGTGTCCAATTTGTGCCAAAGGCGCAAAGTTTTATTCCCACTGGTCAATAGTAAAATCGGGCCTTAGGGACGCAAATACTTCAGGATGATTTCATAACTTTTTTTGCTTTTATGGAATTTCGGTCAAAACGTTTATCATTGGAAATATTCTCACAGTTATTTTGACGTTTCGGTTTATGTTAAACTAAATCATTTTCAGAAATTTAATGGTATGAAAATGTCCAGACTCACATTTCACACTACTGCGTAGTTATTATAAGCATTCTGTGCGGTCTGCACTTTTACAGATCATTGAATTTCTAAAGATGGTGTTAAATCTCCGAATTCATTACATCCATTACATCAAAGACGTCTTTTTATTGGTCCAAAGTGTGCCGATGGCAGAATCGGACCTTGGTGTTCTTAATCACATAGCCAAATACCAACATCTACATTTCCTCGAAATATGTAGCCATATATCTAGTTTCCTCAAAAATATTGACAGTTTCAATAATTATCAGTTAGTTTTAAGCTGGTTTGATGTGGGATTATATCAAGTTATAGCAGGACATGAAAGCATGATTGTTTTGAGTTGAGTTGATTTGAACTTTAGGCTTTTGACTGACAGTTATTTCACTGCTGCAGTATATCTGGATAGTGTGACAAGTTGGTGGAGGTATAGAGTGTTTGGTGCAAACGTTATTTAAGCCGTATACTGTAAGTTGCGACAGATTTTATACAGCTCCACAATTTATGGAGCACTAGCCTAAGTTCGCGAGTCCGCTCGCGTGGAAGTAGTATAAAGTATATGTCATTCATTTTGCATTAATGTGATAAAGACTGGTTTCGGGGAAAGAAATTAAAAATCTGAATTAATACATTAATTCCCAATAGTCATTTTTTATTTAACATTTTAATGCAACTATTGATTAGTATCAAATGTGTATTCAGAATCACAATAAATAATACGTTGAGTATCTCACATCCTGTGTGGCATATCTTAAAACAACCTAACCCAATAGCTATTTATCCACGAATGTCGAAATGCACGATGCAAATGCTCTGTTTATATATCATTACTCATTTAGGTCGTACCAGCGACTAAGCGCTTTCGCGCCAGGCAACTCATGTCAAATTCTAGTGTGCCATTTCGGCTGTAACCCATAAAAAGTAGTAAATGTGCTATTCCAAACTATAATCTACCTCTTTACTTAATTTTATCCAGATCCGTCCAGCCATTATGGCGTCGTTGAGTAACAAACATCCACACTTCCTCATTTGTAATATTGGTAAGAATAAATAATAGCAATGACTTCATACTGACTAAAGTCTGGTACCGAAAAGAACGAAAGCAGCAAAACACTTCGCGCGCTACTGTTCGCGCTGCTTGCCTTTAAATCGACATAGTGCGAACGTGTCCTACCGTAACTAAGAGAGATGCCGCTCAGGCCGTGGCGCGTTTTGCGGCTCTCTGCCTTTTCGGTACCTGTACAGTGGTAATATGCGTTATTTAATCCACCATCTCAATGTTGCTTTGGATATGTTAAGCTTATATGTAGTAACATACTGTATATATATGTAGTTAGCCTCTTATAATTTATTTCGTGAAAAGATGTGGGTTTTCCTATTGACATCTCTTGCAGATGTGGGTTAGCGTACGCCGCATTGGAAAAACTTATGACCGAAATCCTCAATTCAATTTCAACGCATTATGTGCTTTGTACACATTTTTATGACACACATAAAATTACACCACTAACTGATTTTTTGGGATGAAAATTTTATACTGTTTTTATCACATAGGCGTTCTAAAAAGTTACGAGGCTATAAACCGTCAGATAAAACAAAACATGGTGTTTCCTTGTCGGGTTAGTAGTACGGGAAACTTTTATGGCATGCTATCTGTAATTGTACTAGGCTTTTCAGCTTAGCAGGTCCTCTAGATGGTGAATAGATACGTCTCAACAATCTCAAGTTTTAAAGACTAAATACAAATGTATGTGCTTTTATAATAATGCTCAGTTTGATATCAATAAATCGCAATCACATTTAAACTACACTTATACAGCAGGAAATGTTACTGACGTTTCGGCTGCTACGAGACATAATAGTCGCGATTTTTAGGGAGACAGCTGAAGTACGAGCTTTAGGAGTTAATTGATATGCATAGTTCTTGCCAATGTTCTGTAGTCTGATACACAGGCTGGATTAGGCTTTCTGTCCAATGTCTTAACTAACGTGTATGTCACGCCTTAAGGACGATCCGCTGTGGACTCCAACGTAGGCCTATTTCTATTTCACATTTTATTTTTTTCAAAAGCAACACCTCCAATTGTTTCTCACAGATAACTAGAATGATAGGACTTAGTTCACAGGTATACCGAATGCAGATACGTGTTATTTGTTGTTAGGTATCATCGTTGCCCACAATTATTCAGAAAAATAGTGAAAATGAAATAAGAGTGTGTTGTGTCAAATTATTCGTAAGAAAATGGTCTCTTAGACGAAGCCGACGACCCACCCCCTTTCTATTTGAAAAAATCAAGTGAACTGAAAAAATTACAGTTTGTAACTCTTAGAAAATTTTTAAAACGAGTATAAGGTGTTTCGCCTCAAAATCGTATTTTTTCCGTGTCAAAAATGACGCCATTTACAGGATCCATGGCATTCTAAAGCGAAAGATAAAAATTGAAATCAAAATGACTTTATTTGTCAAATGTTGACAATAGAGGCGTTATTGAGTTCAGAATGTCAATCTCGATCGAAATTGTATAAAATATATAGGGTGTGCTATTTAAAAATCGAAAGTTGGAATCGTTTCCGATAAAACCGGTAGTACGTCAAGCGCAACCTCCAAAATTTTATTTTTCTATCTTTAATGATAAAAAAGTTATAGGGATGTACCACCATGGAGAATCATTCGGTAGAGTATGAAAAAATTTGATACAAAAATGCGTCATCCTCGGCTCCGCCACCTGTCGACGTTTCGTATAGCCAATAGAGAATCTAATTGCGCCTCTCTAGATATTACGCCGAAGA